CTGCTAAAAGCTTCTAGTTCCTGGTCCTCATGCCTTATATATCTTTCTGCTTCCTGCCATCACTCCCTGGGATTAAAAGCCTGTGTCCCTCCCAAGCAAAGACATGAGGTCTCAAGTCCTGGGATTAAAGCTATGTGCCACCACTGCCTGGCTCTGTTTCTAGTGTGGCCTTGAACTCATAGAGATCCAGAAGAATCTCTGCCTCCCAAGTAAAAAGGACTAAGGGTGTGTGCCACCACTGTCTGGCTTCTATGTCTAATATAGTGGCTGGCTCTATCCTCTGATCCCCAGATAAGTTTTATTTGTTAGAGCACAAACAAAATATTCCTGTGAGAGAATGCATGGAGGGTAAACAAAACTAGAATGCAATCAAGCTCTGGATCCAAACAATCCATATGTGCATCCTGTAAATTCTTTCCCACCAAAGCCAAATATCTCTCAGCTTTAGTTGATAATTCTTTTGGACTATTCCAGTACTTGTCACCTTTTAAGATCTGAAACAAATTACTCAGTTCATCAATTTTTACCCCAATAATGGGCCATGGATTAGAAATGTTTCCTAGCAATCTTTGAAAGCCATTCAGAGTCTGCAACTTCTCTCTCCTAATTTGCACCTTTTGGGGTCTGGTTTTTTTGTAGAAATATTTTATATTCTAAATAATTAGTAGAATTTTCTCTTTATATTTTAAGTAGCCATTTATAATCCTAAACAAGGTGAAATTTTCTTTACTTCTTCAAACATTCTTTCTAAAGTATCTACATTTGAATAAGCTAGTAAGATATTGTCCATGCAGCAATAAGCTATAGATTGAGGAAATTGCTTATGTATCATTTACAATGGCTGTCATGCAAAATATTGACACAGGGTGGGGTTATTTAACATTCCCTATGGGAGAACCTTCCATTGACATCTCTTAACAGGCTGAGAATTATCATAAGAAGGCACCATGAAGGCAAACTTTTTTCTATCTTTTCTTGTAAAAGTATAGTGAAGAAAGTCTTTTAAATTGATAACTATAAGAGGCCATACTTTAGGTAACAGAGAAGACAAAGCAACTCCAGGCTGTAGAGAGGTCATTGGATGAATCATCTTATTAACAGCTCTTAGATTGGTTACCATTCTCCATTTTTCAGATTTTCCTTTAAAAACAAATACAGGAGAATTTCAAGGGCTGATTTATTCTTCAATATGCTGAATATTTAGCTGCTCCTGTACCAGTTGTTTAAGGTCTACAGTGTCTCTGATGTTAAAGGCCATTGCTCAACCCATACATGTTTGTCTATCAATCATTTTAAAGTTTAGGGCAATTGATGCCTTTGAAATATTAACAACTGTTGTGCTTTGTTCTTGTACAACCTGAATGTTCAGTGACTGGTCTTTATAATAACTTCTAATATTTTTCCCAGAAACATAGGCTTGTTTATGGTTTGCTTATGAGATTGGAGGAATGTTAATCTGGGTATTCCATTGCTGTAACAAATCACATTCCCATAAATTCATTGCTATGTTAGCCACATATGGCTTTAATTTTCCTCTCTGTCCTTCTGGCCTTATACATTTGACTCATCTCATGCTCTGTTTTACTTGAGATAACATTCCAGTCCCTAAAAACTGAACATTTATTTCCCAAAGAGACCAATTTGGATGTCAAGATTTTGGTACAATTATTGTTACATCTACACCTTTGTCTACAAGCCCTTCAATGATGATGTCATTTATTTGTATTTTTAATGTTGGTCTTTGTTCATTTATAAAAGTTTGTCAAAATATTTTCATTATGGTTTCTCCTGAATTTTTTGTTCTCTCTTCTACAACTGTTCTATCATCCACAGCAGTATGGTTTCTTACAATAGGCATTAGATTCTTTAATTGCTCTGGGAAGGAGTTTCCTACAGGATGACAGGAAACAACAGAACCAAATTTGACATGGGGGACTGCAAGAGGCCCCTCAAGGCATTTCCTGATGGCAAAGAATTAACTTGACTATCCCATGTTGATCTACATTCATTAGTCTAATGCCTGCCTTTGCCACACCTTCTGCATAATCCAAAAGGGAGGGGCATTCTGTTGTGATTATTCTTAGAAAAA